AGCTCTGTGTGTGTGTGTTGTTCTCAACAAAGAAAGAATTTCCCACTGTCTCCCTTATGCATCAGGGCACCACTGAGGGGTTGAAGGAAAAAAGTAAGTAGTGACAGTGCCTAGTTCTTCTCCTGGCACTTTCTGACTTTTTATAAAAGTCCATGAGGACATGTGCTGTGGCACACACCTGTAATCCCAGTGACTCAGGACATGGAGACGGGAACATTGCAAGTTCGAGGCCACCTTCAGCAACTCAGTAAGACCCTGTTTCAAAAATAAAGAATAAAAAGAGCCGGGGATGTAGCTCAGTGTAGTGTACCTGGGTTTATTCCCCAATACTAGACAGACAGACAGACACACACACACACACACACACACACACACACACACACACACACACAGAGTCTATCAGAAGGGAAAAGTGGAGAGTGTATTAGGAGAATACCATTTTACCTCTACTAAATAAAAATTGCAGGAGGCCATTGTTTTGGATTAAGTTCCTGCCCAGGGCCCCAACAGACCAGACTAAAAATCTAAGTGGAGTCACTCACATTGAAGTTCTAAGTCATGAAGCTGAAACTAAGCATATTATCGACCTTACAAGAAATCAGGATTAGAGAGAGAACAGCGAAAGTTTCCAAACAGGCCAGCTTCAGTTAGTGGGATAATGAAGTTCCCTCTACCTAATTGTATTATTATTTTTAAAAATATTTTTTAGTTGTAAACGGATCTTTTATTTCATTTGTTTATTTATATGCGGTGCTGAGGATCAAACCCAGTGCCTCACACATGCCAGGCAAGTGATCTAGCACTGAGCCACAACTCCAGCCCCTCTACCTAATCTTTTGATCAAAAAGATAATGTAGTGGTGCTGGGGTTGTGCTCAGTGGTTCGAACACTTGCCTAGCACATGTGAGGCACTGGGTTTGATCCCCAGCACCACATAAAGAAAATAAACAAAATAAAGGTATTGTATCCATCTACAATTAAAAATATTTTTTAAAAAAAGTTGATGTAGGGGCTGAGTCTATAGCTCAGTGGCAGAGCACGTGCCTGGCATGTGTGAGGCACTGGGTTTGATCCTTAGCACCACATAAAAAAATAAATAAAATAAAGGCATGTTGTCCATCTACAACTATAAAAAAATTTTTTTTAAGTTAAATGTAAAGTGACACGATGTTAACCAGTTGTTTTTCTATTGTTTTGTCTCCTATCCCCACCTTCCAAGGAAAGTACCTTGAAATGACCCATCCAGTCTGACTTTTGTTTCTGCATTCTTCAGAAAAGCAGAGTGGGAACTCCAGGCAGCATCTTTGCAGTTGCTAGTGGACTTCCCTTAGAGCTTGACACTTTCGCAGAGCTCCCCAGGGTGGAATCCTTCAGCGTGACCACCAGCAATTTTGGAGCCACTCAGTGAGAGGGGCAAGTCTTCCCTCAGCCCCCACTTTCAACAAGATGCCATGCCATACCCCAGCTTGGCTGAGTCAGAGCCCCTCAGGCCACTTCAAATATCCTGGGGGTGCAGGGGGGAGACCAGGAATTGAACCCAGACAGGCTTAACCACTGAGCCACATCCCAGCCCTTTTTATTTTTTGTTTTGAGTCAGGGTCTTGCTAAGTTGCTGAGGCTGGCTTTGAACCTATGATCTCCTGCCTCAGCTTCCTGAGTTTACTCCCTTACTGGGATTATAGGCATGCACCACCATGCCCAGCTCAAATATGTCTTAATAGAAAGGAACTAAGAAGCAAATGAACTGTAGTTTTTCTGCATAGATATCACACTTTACCTATGGAAACAGCATAAAATGGTATTTGGGAAACGTTCTTCCCCTGGCCCCTAGAGACACTGCACAGCTTCCTTCCCTCCATGGAGGCAGTTGCTGTTCCTGGCTTTTGTATATCCTTGGGGGTGGGGGGGCATAATCTCTGTATATAGTTCATTTCCCTACAAATTCTGCCCCATTGTTGTGCATCCTGCTGTGTTTGTTTATCTGTTGGGGGATTATTCCACATCAATCATGTGGATCTCCTCAACCTGTTTTTTCAGTTGGTTGGTTTTGGGATTGGGATTTGAACCCAGGGCACTTTACCGCTGAGCCACATCTGTAGCCCTTTTTATTTATTTACTTACTTATTTTTGATACAGGTCTTCAGCATATTGATAAGTTGCTTAGGACCTCACTAAATTGCTGAGGCTGGCTTTAAACTTGGGATCCTCATGCCTTAGCCTCTTGAGTTGCTGGGATTACAGGCATGTGCCATTTTGCCCGGCTTATCATCCTGTTTTTTTTTGTTTGTTTGTTTGTTTTTAATTTTTTTTCTTTAGTTGTCAGTGAACCTTTATTTTTTTACTTGTATGTGGTGCTGAGCATCTAACCCAGTGCCTCACACATGCGAGGCAAGTGCTCCACCACTGAGCTACAGTCCCAGCCCCTCATTATCCTGCTGCACTGTGTTCTCTTGAACCAGTGGATCATTATTTATGTAATCATCACCCACAGACGAACACTACTTTTTGCTGTTCTGCAGGATGCTCTGGTGTGGCCCTTTGGACACGTGCTTTTGTGCACACATGTGGATATAACAGTCACATAAATTTTTAGAAAAGGAGTTGCTAGAAAACTCTACCCCTGGCTCTTTGTCCAGAGTTTTCCTGGAGTTGGGCTGGGGATGTGGTAGAGTGCTTGCCTAGCATGCATGATGCCCTGGGTTCAATTCCTAGTACCATACACACACAAAAAAAAAAACAAAAACAAACAACTGTACTCCAGTTTTCCTGGACTGTCCTCTTGGCAGGAAAAATTATGCTCCTGGGGGCAGGATCTTTAGAATAAAGGGGAGAGAGATGATGAGCTTAGTTGTAGGGCAAAAAAATAACTCACTGAACTTGCTCAAATTGCATCTGTGCTGTTCAGGTTTACAAGACTTTACAAGATGCTGTGGTGACCATGTATAGAACTGAGGGACCCTTGGTCTTCTACAAAGGATTGACCCCCACCTTGATCGCCATCTTCCCATATGCTGGGTTGCAGTTCTCTTGTTACAACTCCTTGAAGCACGTCTATGAGTGGGTCATGCCGGCCAATAGAAAGCACAGCGGTGAGACATTCCACAAGTGAATCGCCCTAGCCCAGCCTGCGCCATGTGTCTCTTTCTGAATCAAGAAGGAAATAGTTTTCTCATCAGAAGCTAAGGCACTCCTGTTTCTTGTACCGGGCTATATAGTGTAGCCAACAAAATGAGTAAACCCAGCAGCTTAGAAACAACTTTATTTCTTCTATCTCTTGCCACACCAATCACTGGTATCAATGAGATTTATTTCTAGTGATCAGTCCTGGTCCCCCTCCCCTTTTTTTTTGGTACCCAGGAGTGCTTTACCATATCTACCCAGTCCTTTTTATTTTTTTATTTTTTTTGAACCCAGGGGCATTCAACCACTGAGCCACATCCCCAGCCCTATTTTGTATTTTATTTAGAGACAGGGTCTCACTGAGTTGCTTAGCACCTCGCCATTGCTAAGGCTGGCTTGGAACTCGAGATCCTGCCTTCTTAGCCTCCAGAGCCACCGGGATTACAGGCGTGCGCCACCATGCCCAGCCTATTATTTTTATTTTGAGGCAGGGTCTCACTAAGTTTCTGAAGGTCTCAATGAATTGCTCAGTCTGAGTGACTCTGCTGCCTCAGCCTCCAGAGTTGCTGGTATTACAGGCCTGTGATGCCACTGCACCCGGCCTGAATTTTTTGTTTTGAATCCAAGTTACAAATTCACTTTTTGTTGTTGTTTTCTGGAAGGGACATTCTGTTCTCTCTACAGCCTGGAACCATGTCCCATTGCCTAGCCTACTGTCCTTTATAGCCTCCAGTGGGAGACTGCTACATAAAGGCTCACGCCCTGCTGGCCTCGCCTGTCCAGCCTGCAGTCTGTTATCATTCTTGTTGAGAGTGGCTCTTTCTGGTTTTGGCTCCTAGATTAAATTCCCTTTGGCATCCAAGGATGCTTGTGAGGCCTGGGTTTGTGGTGAAGATTAGACCTGATGGCATTTAAGTTTCCACCAGGGATTGCACTTCTCCTCACCTCTCCCCTCAATCTCATTTCTCTGGTGCAGAGAACCTCAAAAACCTGCTTTGTGGCTGTGGAGCCGGAGTCATCAGTAAGACCCTCACCTATCCCCTGGACCTCTTCAAGAAACGGCTGCAGGTTGGAGGGTTTGAGCAGGCCCGAGCTACCTTTGGACAGGTGAGCTGTCCCTGTGCAGAAAGCTGTGACTCTAGCACTCACATGAAGAAGCCAGAATTCAACTCCTGCCCATTGGGCAGCACTGGTCCCTCTACCCCCAGCCTGACCCCTGTAGTTTAATTTCTTTGCATAAATAAACACACATATACTTTTCAACAAAATGGGGTCATACACTGAATGTAAGGTTTTGTAACCCATTTCCATTAACCAACCTGTCTTGTAGAGACTGTTTGAATTTGGAATGGGAGAGGTGGAAGAGCCCAGGACAGAGGAGGAAGGTCTTACTCCTTACAGAGACTATTCTGTTTTGGCCATAATTGGGGGATGGCTCTTGGGAGGACCAGTGGGAACCAAGGTCAGGGAGGGAAGCCAGCCTCAGAGCTTGGACTTGACTGTTTATGAAAGGGAGGGCTATTGAAAGGGAGGGCTGTCCTGCCTTGAGGAAACAGATCTAGCAGCAGTTTGTGGTGTCAACTAGAGGCAAAGAGATCAGGCTGGAGGGGTGGCACTGGTCAGGCTAAGAGCTAGCAAGGGCCAGATTTAGATTTGTAGCCCAAGGAGAACCAGGTGGAATGGGGTGAAGGACTTGAGACACCTCTCCGTAGAGGGTCCAGAACTGTCAGTGGATCCCCAGAGCCACATTCAGCCTGTGCCTCCTCTGCAGGAAGGAACTCTGTCCCGCTGCTGGCTTCAGGCACTTCATCTGTGAAGTCTCACTTAGCCTACTTGGAGTGGAAAGAATGAAAGTAACTTACTTGCTGTTTTTGCTTTCATTCCTTCATCTGGCAAGCATTTATTGGGAACATGATGTCCTAGGTGCATCTCTGTTTTACTCACTTCATCTTTGCTCAACCTGAACCTTTCTCTCCCCAGGTGCGGAGATACAGGGGCCTCTTGGATTGCACCAAGCAGATGCTGCAAGAGGAAGGTGCCCAAGGCTTCTTCAAGGGCCTGTCCCCCAGCCTGCTCAAGGCTGCCCTCTCCACAGGGTTAGTGTTCTTCTGGTATGAGCTTGTCTGTAACTTCTTCCACTGCCTGAAAAGGACGGACAGCTAGCTGTGGAGGCAGGAAGAGGCTGAGGTCTTTACTGGAGGGCACCTCCTGAGAGAAGCAAAACCTGATCTCATGTGGCACTGAAGGTTATTGTCCCACCTGCCCTCCTGGCCAGCCTTCCCAAGCATGAACAGTCACTGGAAGCAGGGTGGCAACCCTGACCCATCCGGATGGGATACCATCAGAAGGGCCATGACTTTCTCCATGATGGAGCACAGGTCTGGAGCTGTGGGACGAGCAACACCGGTGAGAAGGAGCTCCCACTTGTTTCTTCTCAGTGCAGCCCAGAAACAAAGGAATCAGACACTACCTTCCAACTCATGGCTGCATCCATTGGGGAACTCTTGCTTCTGGAAGGGGCTGCAGCTTGAGTGCAGAGAGCAAGGAATGGGCTCTTTGTAGGAGTTTGGTCCCCATCCTTGGGCTATTTTCCCCAACAACTTTTTTAATAGACATTAAAGCAAAAAAGCACATTCCTTACCTTGCTCCTCCACCTTCCCTTACAAACTGCATCTTTGCTTACCCAGGATAAGGGAAGGGACTCTAACTTCCTCAAATTCCACTTTATCAGTTACAGCTGCTCTTAATAAATCTAAGGATAAAGTTCCAGGTGAGTCAGTCATTTTCAAAGCCTCCAGACCTAGACTTTATGTCTACAAAGGCACTAGCACCAGACCATGCTCTCCCAACAAGGCACTGGCTTCCAGGGAAGACATACCAGTGACCCTACAGGAAGTGGAGGGAATGTGCTGATGGACAAGATCTGGTAAAGGCATAGCCCTTCCCCCACTCTACCTTGGTTGGCTCCCCTTTTGCAGGCCCTGGGTTAGCCTTGTTGGGTGAGGAGCTTACAGCCAGGCCAGCTGGCATCAGGGCCTGCTCAGGATGTTCCTTCTCAGCTCAGCACAGCACTGTGTGTGTGTCCTCTGGAGCCCCAGAAGGGTCATGGCCTCAAAGCTGTCCAGTGAGCAGAAGGGGATGGAAGGGGCTGGGCAGACAGCCTGGTGATGGCACAGTTGGCACTCAGGGAAGTTACCAGAGCCCAGGTACCCACAGAGGTGTGTGTCTAGATGTGGAGGAAGAACTTCAGTTACAGGGGTATGACTGCCACACTTTCCATCTGCCAGCTCTGCTGTGGGTTAGGCTCTGAGGAGGGAGGGGCAGCACCTTCACCTTGGCCTCACTTGGTACTCAGGCTATGATGCTCCAGCCCCTGCACCAAATTGGAGACACACCTTCAGGGGGTGGCCATAGTTTGAGGGTGCTGGGGCCTTCCCGGGTACCTTGTGATCCCTGAGTTCTTTCTCACCATCATGCTTCTTTCCTTGGACCTGGCTCTTTGTGGTCTGTTCAGACCTTCTGCTGATGAAGGTCCAGGCTACCGATCCCTCTAAGGCCTGGGCCTGCTGCAGGCAGCTGCATCATTGTATTTAATGAAATTCCATTGGAGTAAAGTTTATGCTCATCTCTCCTGCTCACAAGGGAATTTTTGCTGCAGCTGAGAATTCTCCATTTCCAGAGAGACTTTGGCAACACTCTTGACCGGGCTGTGGCGGGTGGGGCGGCAACTACGAAGCTCGCCCAGTCCCTGCCAAGAAAGGCCAAGAGCACAGAGACATGGGCCGCATGTTGCCAATTGGGACCCTTCCCTTCGACTGCCCCTTTGACTTGAAACTTACTTCGTTAGTTTCGTTGGAGTAGGAGAGGGAGTTGGTAGGGTTTGACCCAGCTCTTACACCTGCCCTCCGCCTTCTCTACCTTGGTGGGTGGAAAAGGGGACACTGCACCACCCTGGAAGACGCTGCTCCTGGACCAAGCCACGCCCTCAACGGACTCCTCCCACCCGCACGGCTGGTCGGAGGAGCAGGTTCGGCCCAGCGGCACGAGCGGCTGCGGTCCTGAACAGGGCCGCAGCGCACCGGCTGAGGAGGGGCTAGGCAGGGTGAGCTCTCCAGGCGCGACCGAGGCAGCTTGGCA